GTTCTAAACTAACGCGCTGTCTTCACTGTATCTAACGCACACAAGGCTGATTTATACTCGACGCGTCCGCCGCTTTTCTTAATTTTTTTTTATTAAACATTTATTCAGAAATACCGATGAGCTTTGTAAAAATCGACGCGTTTCAAAAAGGCGGGGCATAGAGGAGAAACAATAATGTACAGTATGTGGAAAATAATGTGTTTTTTGAACCTTAAACCGCATAAACACATTTCATTACACCAAATACACAAAATAATGTTCTTTTTTAGCAACATCATATGACCCCTTTAAACATCATGGATTTTCTCTAGAGATGAATGCTACTGACAGATAAGGTTATTTATGTCCACCAGGGGTCGCACTAGAGCGGGTTCCGGAGTCCTCCATCCATGTACCGCTTGTTATTCTTCCGTTCATGGAGCATGGAGATCTACACAGCTTCCTCAAAGCGACCCGCTACGGTGATGTTCCCATGGTTGGTCTCACACATTTGCAACACCTGCTTTTGAACTTCTCCTTCTTTTTACTCTTGTTTTATATAAAGTGTTGGTTAAAATAACCACATAGCTGATTATATACATTGCGTCGTTTAAACTGGTTTCTTCTCTCCAGTTTGTGCCTTATCAGAGTCTTCTGGGTTTCATGATTGACATTGCTGCAGGAATGGAGTATCTCAGCCTTCAGGGTTTCTTACACAGAGACCTGGCTGCCCGTAATTGCATGTGAGTCCACAGGAGGGCAGCAAAGAGCACATTACACAATAATGTCCTGTTAATACTTGCATTGTCTTGAGAAGAAGCCACGCCTAATGATGAACAAAATGTTTTTTTCCCATACTTACCCAGTGCTGGACTCACACACATAGTTTGGCTTTCACAGGTTGGGGGATGATCTGCATGTCTGTGTGGCTGACTTTGGCCTGTCTAAGAACATCTATTCCAGTAACTACTATAGGCAGACGAATATGGACGTTAACATGCCTGTAAGGTGGATGGCTATAGAGAGTCTGTCTGACTTCTTATACACCACCAAGAGTGATGTGGTCAGTCCTATTTATGCTTCTAATGCAGTATTAATACAGTGCTTTGTTTTAAAATTGATCACTGTTTTTTGTGTCTAATGTAGGAATGAGTGAAATAGGTTCTTTGTGTCATATTACAAACTGAACAACTGGTGAAACCTGCCAATCAGAAGAATTTTTTTTATTTATTTAATTGCAGTGTTTTGCAGTGAAGGAATAGTTCACTCATAAATGAAAACCAATGGATGCACTGCAGTGAATGGGTGCCGTCAGAATGAGAGTCCAAGCAGCTGATAAAAACATCACAGTAATCCACACCACTTCAATCCATCAACTAACACCGCATGGAGTGGAAAGCTGCATGTTTGTAAGAAGCAAACCATTGAGACATTTTTAACATTTTTAAACCATTGGTTCCATCTAAAATACGAGTTCTCTATCTGTAATATTGCTTTCTCCAGTTAAAAGTTGTCTTATCTGAATCAAGAGAGAAATGTTTTACAAATATGTCGCTTTTCACTTCACAAGATGTTAATTGATGGACTGGAGTTGTGTAGATGGGTTGTGGATTATTGTGATGTTTTTATCAGCTGTTTGGACTCTCATTCTGACGGCACCCATTCACTGCAGAGGATGCTTTGGTTAGCAAGTGATGCAATGATAAATTTCTCCAAATCAGATCTGATAGAGAAACAAACTCATGTACATTTTTAATGTCATGAGGGTGTCAATTTTTTAAATATATATATATATATTTTTTTTTGGCCTTTTATTGCTTTTTTATTAGATAGTTGAAAGCAGACAGGAAAGTATAGGGTGGAGAGAGGGGGGCAGGATCGGCAAAGGATCTCAAGACGGTAATTGAACTCGGGTCACCGTGAGCACAGTTGTGCTATATGTCGGCGCGCACTAACCACTAGGCTATCTGTGTTAATTACTATTCTATTCTATTCTATTCTATTCTATTCTATTCTATACTATTAAAGAACTATTCCTTTAAATAGAATCATCAATCAGAATAATAAGAGTTAAAAAAAAAACTTAAACATCCAGTTAAACACAAACTGTTTGAGTGGAAATGGTCCTAAAATAGTTTCTTATATATAAAATATATTTTTGTTTTTGTGTGAGAAAACTGTGGGAAACTCTGTGGGGAAAATATGACCTGGATACATTTTTTTTTTTTAATTTACCCACCAAAAAACAAACAAAAAAAAAATTATTTATACCTTATGTCTCACAGTGGTCTTTTGGAATAACCATGTGGGAGATCACATCCAGAGGGAAGATGCCTTATCCAGGTATCTCTGGTCATGAGCTCCTGGACTTCCTGGAAAATGGACACCGTCTCAAACAAGGGGACAATGACAGTAAATTGTAAGCACATTTTTCATCAAAACATCACAAGAAGTAGCACTGAAAAAATAGAATTATTATTTATAGACAATTCTGTTTATCAGGAATGACTAAGCCTTTATCAAAAACTGTCTATTGCAAGACTAATGAAATCAGTAGCAAAAGTTTAGGTCTGTTTTAAGAATCCTCATGAGTCACGGCAGTAATGTGCATATGCAGCTGAATTATAAATCATTGGATATGATAATGTTTAGTGCATGTTTTTGAAGCATAAATGGCAAGAGGGGTTTTTCTCCATTTTCCTTTGACTCTTCCTCTGTCAGATATGAGCTTATGTTGAGCTGCTGGCACAGAGATCCCTCTCAGAGGCCAGGATTTGGAGAGCTGGGCCAGAGCCTCAAAGCACTTCTGTCTGAGCTTCCACCCCTGGAGGCCAGCAATGAGGCCCACTACATCAACCTGGGTCTGGAGGCAGCCGGTGATCACCAGGACAGCGCAGAGGCCCTGGAGCCTGAGGTGGAGAGGATGATGTAAACGACATATACCTGCCTGAACCAGTGGGCAGCTTTGTTCTTTTCTAGACCCGTGAGGGAAGAGAAGGAAAAGGATGAGAAGGAAGACCTGCTGTGCATTACAATTTAATATGAGAATGTAGTCCACAATATGCATTTATTAACACATATTTCAAGTATTATGGTGAGATTACGGTTTCAGAAATGACATAAAAGTACACATTGCTAGAAGTACATATGAGAATTCATATTTATCAAAACATATACTACATATTTCTCAAAACATATAATATTGTGATTCATATTTTTATTTTTCTACTTTTTTCTACACTGTAGCCAATATATATATATATTTTTTGAAATTAGTAATATTAGATATTTCTTTTTAATATTCTTATTAATACTCTTATTACAATTATATATATATATATATATATATATATATATGTGTGTGTGTGTGTGTGTGTTTTATTGTACATCAGTTTTGCATGTAGTGTCTTGCCTTTCTAATATCTAAGCACTTCAATAAAATATGGATATGTGTGTGACTATATGATGGTCATATTGTCATGCCATATGATTCTCATGCTCCAAACACTATAATAACATGGGGAAAAATTATTCTAAAATCTGTAGGTTTTAAAAATATTTTTATATAAATATATAATTTTTCATTTTTCAAAAAACAGATAAACACACACACACATTTTTTATTTTAATTAATTTTTATAATAGGATATATATACAGTGGGTACGGAAAGTATTCAGACCCCCTTAAATTTTTCACTCTTTGTTATATTGCAGCCATTTGCTAAAATCATTTAAGTTAATTTTTTTTCCTCATTAATGTACACACAGCACCCCATATTGACAGAAAAACACAGAATTGTTGACATTTTTGCAGATTTATTAAAAAAGAAAAACTGAAATACCACATTACTAAATACTGAGCAAAGTGTCTGAATACTTAGGACCATGTGATGTTTCAGTTTTTCTTTTTTAATAAATCTGCAAAGATGTCAACAATTCTGTGTTTTTCTGTCAATATGGGGTGCTGTGTGTACATTAATGAGGAAAAAAAATTAACTTAAATGATTTTAGCAAATGGCTGCAATATAACAAAGAGTGAAAAATTTAAGGGGGTCTGAATACTTTCCGCACCCACTGTATATATAGCCTATTATATGTAATTATGTTTTATTTGTAATGTCATCTGATTTATGATTGTTTAATTATATATATCCTCCTGACTATCAGAAAGAAGTTATGAATTTAGTATTTTTTCATGTCATTACTTTGTTTAGAGCATAAGAAAAAAAAGTAAAAAATAATAAAGAATTTTTTAAAAATTATATTTTATTCATATCTTATGATATCCTCTGTAGAGGACACCAGGACTCAGTTTAAAAAAAAATATCAATAAATAAAGACATGAATAAACACGAAAAAGCAAAAGCAGTGGATTTTTTTTTTCAGTGGAATACATTTTTTTTTATGCCAAACTTTGAATAAAGATGATTCTCAACTATGTTATGCGATAATAAGTATCGCTTTTTATTTCTCCTCTTTCCTATTTCTTGTTCTACTTCTGTTTCAGTTTTTATAACCATTTCTTACTATGTGTCAGTAAGTTGTTGTTTTTTAGCATGTGTGTTTGGCAGTGTTATTTTTTAGGATTACTGATAAACTAAATAAATAAAATGTTATTAAAGATAACATGATTTGATATACCATTTTGCTTTATGCAATATATGTGTAAAATGTCCATAAACCAGTTTTCCCATGATATACATTATAAATCCACAGGATCACTTGATTAGTTGAGTGTCTTGAATCTCTGGCTGTTTCTGTGAGATCCGCGTAATGCCACGTCCTCTGATGTCACTGCCGCACCTGCGCAGCCATCTTGTGCTTCGAGCGAGGGGCAGATCGGAAGCAAGGAAGAAAAGCAGAACAAAATAACAGTGTTTTGCGTTACATGGTCAGTAATGTCCGTCAAGTGACTGAATCCAACGAGAAGACAGTGTTGAGGTGTGATCGGAGGGGCTAAATCAGAGAACGCTGCTCCAGTGCCTCGGGATTCCAGACCTACAAGTCATCCTCTTCATCATTATCGCCTCCGAGTCCGATCTCCTGCTGAACCCAACGACAACGACACAAACACGCCATGAATCCAGAATAGTGAGTATCTGACGGCAAGACTAGTGTTTGTGTACTCACGAAGCGTCAGTGTGAGTAGCTTTGTCTAGCCTCAACGACTAAAAACGTCCGGAACTAACGGCGAATTCAAAGAATATTTGCTCATTCAGCCTTTATTTAGACCGCTTCTTACTCTAACGAGAAGTATTATCGCTATTGCACGCTTAAAATGTAAAATTGTCGTTATTTAGTGTTTATAGCACGTAATTTTAGCATTTGCCGTATTGCGTGACGTCATTTTGGTGCGTTGCGTTGCGACGGAGTGACGTCATCGGTTTACGGACGCCAGGCTGAATCCAGCTGTCGAAATGGATCTTGCACGTGAGCGCATATTCCCGTTAAATGCACGCACACGGTGTTTTGAACCTTATCGCATTCATCGCTTGTCATTGCGAGGCAATCAAGTGTCATGTGGTTTTTATTAGGCCTGTGAATTGAAAGTCGGTTTTACAGCTGGAAGAGGTCGTGAGGAGGAGAAGCTTCGCATTTTTGTGTGTTTTCTTAGTAGCATGCAGTCAGCTTACAAGTCTGCATTCATACAGACGTCTTTAGTTGAATATTGCATGAATATCCAACAGATTATTTGTCACATCCATCAGCAATATTTTAAGTGCATCTATGTCACTGGCAACAATGAACACAAACATGTTTGAAACACTCCCCTGTTTGCCATTGGTCAGTTAAACGGGTAGTCCCGCCCCAAACTCGTGCCATTGAGCCAATGTTGACATGTCAGACCTGGTCAGGATGCTCAAACATACAGATTTCACTTCCTTTCTGTGTTGTAAATGGTGAAGTTGTCAGATGTCAGTTTGTAAGTGTAGTGTACATCCTTAATTAAATGAACTAAAATATCTGTATCAGCATTGGCCATTGACCGACCCACTTATATCCAATTTATGGTGTTGTTTTTATTGCAGAAAGTGTTTGACTAAAATGTACTTGTTAAAACCGCGAACTGAACACTGAAACGCTTTACTTGTTTGAGATTATTGTTTGTGGGTATAGCACCTCTTGTTTTTCTCTTGACACAGGCAAGTGCTCGGTGTATCATTAGCATGCTGAGACGTAGTGCTGGGCGGTATGACCAAAAATATATATCACGGTATTTTCCAAAATTATACCGGTTTCACGTAGGGCTGCACGATTCTTGCTAAAATGTGAATCACGATTTTTCTCCATGGGAATTGAGATCACGATTCTCTTACACGATTCTCATTTTTTCAACCAAAATTTATTGCACTCAAGTACAAAACAAAACAAAACACAGGACTAGAGCTGCACGATTCTGGATAAATTGAGAATCACAATTTTTTTTTGTCTCAAATAGAGATCACAAATCTCCCACGATTCTGAACTAAACAAAATAATGTGTGGCAAAATATGATTGCTGCAGTCTATTTAAAAGTGTTTAATTAATTTGAATGAAGTATTAACCATTTTAATATACACTACCAGTCAAAAGATTTTGAACAGTAAGATTTTTTTGTTTTTTAAAGAATTCTCTTCAGCTCACCAAGCCTGCATTTATTTGACACAAAATACAGCAAAAGCAGTAATACTGTGAAATATTTTTACTATTTAAAATAACTGCTTTCTAAAAAAAAACAACAAACAAAAAAGTGCATAATATTAATAGATGAACTACGCTCATATTTATAATTCCAAACAATCAGTAAGAGACAGGTGCTAGGAAACGCTGTTTTGTACTCATTTATTGAGGAGTCGTCTGCGGTGCGGCCAACTGAATGCACTGCTTCTCTGCCGCTCACTGCACAGAACAGACGCTGAGAGAGGGGACACTTCTCCGGGAAAGTCAGACCTCGCGTCCACGGGACAGCACTGGCGAAATCTTCCAACTGAACCATAGCTAAGGTTTATCCAAAAAAGCTCGTGTGTGTGTGTGTGTGAATATTCTATGGAAAAAAAGCCTTCTTTCAAACAGTGTCGCGTTCCGAACGTTGTTTAATTAAGCGACATACACCGGTATTGCGGTATTTTAAAAATTCATATCATAACAAAAATAAACACCGGTATTCGGTATGAACCGGTATACCGCCCAGCACTAGCTGAGAGTCATGATTGCTTCACAACTGTTGTGTGATGCAACATTTCTCAGCTTGTCTAATGTTAGTACTTGAATTCAGAAACCAGAATAGGTCCCTCGTTGCGACAGTCATCGCTGGAATCAGATTGGCTCAGCTGTATTTTGAGCTGGTGGCAGGGGATACTTTGTTTATGCTGATTTTGTTTTGAACCTACTTCACCATCAATGTGAACCAGATTCCTCGCTGTTGGTTATTGAAAATGGCAGTTGATTTCGCAACTTGTTTCCATTTTAGTAATACTGATGCCACTTTTTTATTATATCAGTTTAACCTATGATAATCCTATGTAATGTGCTGTATGATTAGTTCAAGACAATAATGTAGTGTCATTGATATATTAACATAACAGGACAAACACCATTCCTACAAGTCAATATGCACACAAAACTCTTTACAGTCCAAGCATCTTTGTTGTTGGTCTTACTGTGTATAAAGAGAGAATTGTTATGCTCCCATGAGCCAAACTACTTTAGACCACATGATTTACAATATGCTACTTGTTAACTCTGCCATATTGTATGCTTATCATCACTAATGTAACTACTGTAGCAGTGTTGTCATTAATGAAAACTAAAAGTATTAAAAACATTGACATTTTGTTAATTGAAATTAAGCTTGGATAAAGTAAAAAAAAAAATTAGACGAAAATCTTCAACCAAAAAAACTTCAAACAAAAACTAGAAATGAAACTGAATTAATTGAAATAAGTTGAAGTAAATAGAAATAATAATAATAATAATAAATACTGTAGTAGTGTATAAATAATACTAACATAACGCTGTATGGAATAATAAAATTAAACTTGAGGTATTATTTTATTTGAATAAGCCATTTGACTTGTAATTGTCCTAAGATACAAAGTTTGAATTTATATTCAAAACTGAAATACGAGCATGTTGATGTATTTTAATGTATTGCTGTTGCATATCGTTTTAGTGAAAAATTATGAAAACAAACTAAAATTAAAACGAAAACTGAAAATATGACAAATAAAGGTAATTCAAAATAATAATAGTATATAAA